TTTTTTTTTTTCTATTTTAGTATGTTCTGTTATTTGTATGTTGCTTCAGGTATGTCTTTACATTATTCTCACATGTGTGTACAATATTGGAATATGTATCAGAGCAATGTAAAACAGACTTTTTTAAAAGAGTAACGAATGGAGTTTCTTGCTCGTTCTTCTCCACTCGAATCGACATTTTGGAACGAGCGCCTAGCTTCACTGACGGACAGACTGACAGACTATTATATATCTCATATTTGTTGACGTTTCAAAAGTACCAAATTATGGTTTAATTGAAATAAATGCTTTTGAGTTGAGTTGAGTTAGTGTCACCGCCATCTGTTAGTTTTCGCTTGAACTATCTTCTCTACGTGTCAGTAAATGTCGTCACATGTACAGTAGATTGTTACAGAGTCCGGAGAGATCAGAGTAAGGTCTATAACCTAACTTTTGATAAAGTGAACCTAATTTATTATAACATTATAACGTATTTAGTTTAAAAAATGTACATTTGCAGGTAAATTGTGGCGCCCTCTATTTTGTTTATAAACAAAACGATACATGTATTGAATACTCTGGGTGTCTTAAAAGGCCGAATGAGTAGGTTGCTTATATAGGCGTGATCCATCGTAGGCCGCATCATAGTGCAATACCAGCCGGGATAGTGAACAAACGTTGACCACTAGATATATTAGATATATGTATATGAGATAGACTTATACCAAATCCCTTTTTTCTGTGACCTTTCATTAAAATATTCTTTCCAAATTCCGTAACAAATATTTTTATACTTAGGTAATAATTCTACGAAGTTAGTTCCTATACATTTTTCTATACCCTCCTCTATACCCAATTTTGCTAAACGGTCAGCCTCCTCATTACCCTTATTACCTATATGTGAAGGAACCCCTTGTAATCTCAGCTGTGTACCTTTTTCAGATAGATTGTACATTTTCGAGAGTATTTCATAAGCTATCGGTGCACCTCTGTACCCAAAGGCGCAAGCTATATGTTGTAGTGCACTTTTACTGTCTACACAAATTAATATATCGCACCTACGGTGCAATATCGTCACTTATGCAATGTTTGTCAAACCTTAACTGATGAAAGAGTACTCCAAATTACCTCTTTACTTCGTGCGTTATTTATTGTCATTTGTGTAGTAAGCAAACTGACATTGTGAGGGTATTACTGTCGTTACGGTTTTGGCGCTAATCTGGACGGCACTAGGAAAAACAACGCTTCATTGTTCAGTTGCGTGCAGGACCCGCAATACATAAGTGACGGTATAGCACCGGAGGTACGCTATGTCCGTAACTTTAGGTTGAAATAATAAATCTAATAACAGCTCACTCATAGGACCTACTTAGTTTTTAGTCAAATTTCTTTGGCGCTTGGCGACTGGACATCTCTCATTTGCGCAGTCTTTTTTTGTGCATTTAGACTTAATACATTGTCTCCTGCAGTAATTCACCGAGGGAAGTGAAAATTATTGTTTTTTTCCTCTCCTCTTATAATATATTCTGATATACTTCGTTGCGGAAACCAAGACGGTTATTAATGTCCCTGGGACAGACCAGACTTCAGTGTTATGGTGTTGTCATGGTTTTATCTTCTATATCCTGGCTTACAGGAGTTGCAGCGTCAAAAAGTACGTTCATACTTAATATAGATATTAATAATCTATGTTCTGAGTCGTCTCTCTCTCTCTCTCTCACTGAAAGATCTCATTGGCGGAGGCACGTGCATTGGATCGTTCGATTCCCTACAATGTTGTGGTGGTGTACGTGTCATGTTCGTAAACGGGCGCCGTCGACTGGGACTGGCCAGCTCCAGACTGAATTATTTATTGTCTTTATGGTTATTTTCTTTTTCGATCTCTTTGACTGGATTTTCGTGTTACATTGTTCTCACACAATCGGACCAACAAAACTGTGTAACTGGAGAATTGTATTGTGAACCTGATTGGAAAAGAGTAACCTATGGAGTTTCTTGCTCGTTCTTCTCTATAGGAATCTACAACTTAGCAAATAGCATCACTTTTAAATTTTTATTGCTGACGTTCAAAAGTGCCTTCCTGGTCTAATTGAAATAAATGATTTTGACTTTGACTTTTGACTATAGTCGCTGCTTGCATTGTGCTTTGGCCTTTATTGTGACACGTTGCAACCGACGGAGGGCCGCCCCATGCGCACCTTCATCGTATAGAATAGTATAGGTAGATCAGGGGTTCCCAATCTATTGTAACCCGCGGCGCAGTTACAAGTTGAATATTTTTGACGGCGCCCTATCCTAGCTAACTGTCGCGGAGAACCTAACGGGTAACCGGGGCTCCGGCTCGACGTGCAGGAGAAGGAACGGGGTGGTTTTTAGTCAGTAAGAGTCTGACACTCCCTCCCGCCTCACCCAGGCGGGAGTAGTCATTCGATGTTTTTCGCCCCTTTAAAAAAAAAATCCTAGCTAACTATTTGAGGAAAACAGTCGAAAGAAATAGGTACCTACGATAGAGTAGTTAGGTTAGGTCGATCGTAACGAAAATTAAAACACCACAATATTATTATTTTTTTAACAATAAATACATTATTATTTTCAGCGAAAAAAAATATTACTTTTTTATTATAAAATTATTTAACTCGTCGAGTACCGGTTTTGTAGACACAATTATAGAACAATAGGTTGCGGTCACCGGTGACCGCTTGGTGTTTGACAGTTTAAACGGAAAACAACACACCCTTAAGAAAAAGCAAAAAATTAAATACGATATTTACTCAGTCAAATCAATGTGAAGGGTGAGTATTTAGTCCACACGGTTTTTTAAGGGGGGAAAAAGACTTCACACTGGTACTCTCATTTCTTGCTCCACATTGATCAAAAAAGTATCCGCCAACATTAGTGGTGTTCAATAATTAGAGAATTCACTTACGGCGCCGCTCTTCACTTTCTACGGTGCACACTTTGGGAACCCCTGGTATAGATAATATAAAAAACCAATATATTTATCTTCGATAAGGAAAATCACTAGATAAAACTGTATGCACAGAGACTGGTTGCAGTCGTACGAGTCGATATTGTGTTTCGACGTAAATTATTATTATTGCGCAAATAATAAATTAATTTAGTTGTCAGATTTCATCTAACGCGGACATTTTAAAAATATTAATATAGTTTGCGAATACTTCCAATACAATCGTAAATCAAGCGACTAATGTATTAAGTTATTTTCAGTGTGTAATATAATTAATTACGTCATTATTGAAACATGGGCTCGTTTAGTGGATTTGTTCAGGAATTGCATTTTATAAGGATTGACAATTTCATTCGTAAAGAATACGTTTATGCCTATTTCTTGAGTCATTACCACGGTGACCATATCCATGGTATAGAAGACAAAGAGTTATCAATTTATTTGAAAAATAACAAGGTGTATATTTACACTTCCGAAGTAACTGTTGCTATTATAACAGCGAGACACCCGGAGTTGGCGCCATATTTGAGAGCTTTAAAACTTGGTAAGTTGATTTTTTATAATCAGCATAATCATCATAACATCACGCCTTTTATCCCTGAAGGGGTAGGCAGACGCGCACACAGAAGTAACACCCACTTTTCACTATTTATGTTATGAGTCCCATGTAATGGTGAGCCTTTTGCCATATATCGGGCACATTTCCAGACTCCGTGCTACTATTGAATTTTTTTTTTAAAAAACCCAGTAATACTTTGCCCTACCCGGGAATCGAACCCGAGCCGCATTTGCATAGTGAAAAGTGGGTGTTACATTGTACAGTGGCGTAATGTGCACCTCTGCCTACCCCTTCGGGGATAAAAGGCGTGATGTTATGGTATGTAATAAAACTGTAGAAGTGTAAATTCTGTACATTACAAATATTAAAAAATAATTACTAGGGGGTGTTACTAAATGAACACTGAAGCTAAAATGTGATAAAAACATTTTTGTCTGTCTGTCTGTATGTTCACGCATTACGCAAAAACTACGAGTCCGATTATGATGAAATTTGGAAGTTTGTGTCATTATACTTTTGGGTACTTTTATCCCGAAAAAGTATATACACAAAAAAGCTAACTTAATTATGCGGCTCAATCCTTAGACACACCTCCTTTACCAAACGCAAATATAAGTTTGTCGAAGGTTAGGTTGCCCTCAGTTGTCGTTACGCTGTAGAAGTAGGGCCGATAGTTGAAATTAGCTTGAACTGATATTATAAATGTGACAATACGTGAGTTTGTGAATTTGTATTGTAATATTTACGTGCGTTTAGGCGCTTTTACCATACCTATTACTGGAAGCAAGTATAACAGCTCACACATAGGACCCACTTAGATTTTAGTCAAACTCCCGTGGTGCTTGGCGACTGGGCTTCACCCAGTTGTACAGTCTCTTCTTTGTGCCTTTAGGCTTAATTCATTCTGCTTTCTGCGGTAATTCACCGAGGGAAGTGGAAACTATCGTTTCATTTCTTCTCCTCTTATAATATCTTCTGATTCACTTCGTTGCGGGAACCAAGACAGTTACTCATGTCCCTGGGACGCGCCGGACTTCAGTGTTCCGGTGTTTTCATGGTTGTATCTACTGTATCCTGGCTTACAGGAGTTGCAGCGGTTTTGGGAGCGTGTGGCAGGCTTGTTCCTTTGATCCTCTTTCCTCCAAAATCACTGAGCATAGCCCTTTCTACAGCGCCCTGAATGACCTTGAGCTGTTTAATAAGGCGACGTTTCAGTTGCACTGGTAACGTACGCTGATGTCAGTTGTCAGCATGTCCTTGTTGCTTATCTCATTCGTGATAAGCGATAATAAAAAATAAATAAAAAGCCCTTTATTCAGACCAAGTTAGTATCTAAATTTACAAATTGTTATTTTCTTTTCGTAGTTTTAATTTATCCTAATATATTTTCTATTCAAATCTAATATTTGATAACTTTTTGTAGTTTTGTTGTAGTAGGAATTGTGCCCGGTATATGGCAATAGGCTCACCTCCTATTACATGGGACTCATAACATAAATAGTGAAAAGTGGGTGTTACATTGTACAGTGGCATAATGTACACCTCTACCTACCCCTTCGGGGATAAAAGGCGTGATGTTATGTTATGTTTATGTAGTCTGTTTGCCAGTCGGCAAAATCTTCTTTCAACCTTTTCAATTCCCTTCCATTTTGGGCCAACATATTCCAGGTTACTCCTGCCATTTGCCTGATGTTGTCATCTCATGTTTTCTGCGATCTACCTCTTCTTTTCTTTTCTCTATCATCATCATAATATGCCCTGCCCATTGCCATTTAAGTCTTCTGATTTTCGATTTTATATCTATGGCTTTTGTCTTGTTTCTGATGACAGTGATAAGTGAACTTATGTTAAATTATTCTTTTTACAGGACGCAATGCATTGTCAATTCAAACGGAGTTCAAAGAAGAATTGTTGGAAGTAACTGTACTGCCAGCGGGGCATTCCTTTGGATCCGTAATGTTCCTATTTGAATATGAAAAACAAAAGATTATGTTTACTGGCGACTTCAGAATATCGAAAGACGATGTTGAAAAATATACGCATTTGCAAAATAATGGAATACCAATACAAATTGATGCTTTATATATCGATACTACCTTCCAAGTGAGTACAGTTTGTAGAGGTATATCAATACATAGTATAAAACACAGTCGCTTTCGCTGTATGTCCGTATGTATGTTTAGATCTTTAAAACTACGCAACGGATTTTGATGCGGTTTTTTTTAATAGATAGAGTGATTCTTAAGGAAGGTTTGTATGTATAATACATGCATATTGCACCCGTGCGAAGGGTCGCTAGTTTATTGATAAAAATCAATGAGGGCGCCACAGATCGTTCATGCCAACTAATAGTAATCACTACATAGTATAAGTCCCCTTGCCCGGCAGTCGCATATGCGACCACTCGGCCAACGAGACAATCTTAGCCATACTTATTTTAGCCATAAAATTTTGGAAGGTTTTCATTTCATTGAGTTTTTTATGGTATAAGCCGGTATACAATTATCGTCGCTCATGGACACCTGGAACACCAGAGGTATTACAAATGTGTTACCGGCCTTTTAGGGATTAGGAATTTGAGGATTGTAGGGGATTCAGGGATTGGTGAAATTGGGTAGGGTGGATGGTATTTGGGCCTACGCTAACTTCACTCACACTCTGTGAATCTGTGGTATCACTCCGATCGAGCCGGCCCACTCGTGCTGAAGCATGGATCCCCCACACTTGTGTAGGGGAGGCTCATAGTGCAGCATTGGACCTTAGTCCCATGGCCTGTTGTTGCTTATAAATAATTTGTTTTATTTATATTTCAGAAAGAACATTATTTTCCGAAAAGGTCAGAAGTAGTTAGAGAGCTAATACCGTATATTACGCAGTGGCTGGACGAAAGCGATGAGAACCGAGTTAATCTCGGTGCGTCAGCCATGTTTGGTTACGAAGGAGTCTGCAACCAAATTTATGATGCAATTAAAATCAAAGTTAAGGTTGAAGAAGACAAATGGCAGATATATAGGTAAGATCATCAAACATCCTAGGCGAGCACCTCATAAGCGCCCCTATTCTCTTTTGTCACCGCCGTCACTGAAAAGGCAGTTGCGCACACGCATCTCGCGGCGCCTCACTGTAAAGGCAAAATATTTTTAATAGAATCAGTAGATCATTTATTTATTTATAAACTATGTACATACTACTATTATAACAGGAACTAATACCTAATGCAATAGTGTATGCCAATATTAATAGAATTAAATTACAAAGTCTAATTTTACAATTTGGTACTACAACATTTATAACTATGGTAACAAACATATTCCTTAAGCTAAGTCACTGATGGGTACAGGTACAGTAACAGGCTCTTCTGAATTCGTTCAGTGTACAATAAAATAAGTCAATGTATTCCGACATCACATTGAGCGTCCGCAGCGCCCGCGTCGGGGGCGCGCGCTGTAGGAGGTTGGTGCGTGCGCGTGGTATCGCCAGCAGCGCTGGCGTATATATATATATATATATATATATAGATCATAATACAAGTATGTATTTGTTCTAAGTTAAAATGGCCGCATACAACCCGTTTGAGTGAACTGAATTCCAGTTCAGCACGACAAACTTAAAATCAATTTAATTATATGAGATTTCATTTGCAATCAATTTTATTCATAACATCACGCCTTTTATCCCTGAAGGGGTAGGCAGAGGTGCACACAGAAGTAACACCCACTTTTCACTATTCATGTTATGAGTCCCATGTGGGGGTGAGCCTATTGCCATGCACCGGGCACATTTCCAGACTTCGTGCTACTGCTGAGATTTTTTTTAAAAGCCCTGTAATACTTTACCCGACACGGGAATCGAACCCGAGACTCCTTGCCCGGCAGTCGCACTTGTGACCACTCGATCTCAATCTCAACTCAATCAATATTATTTCCAAGACTTTATATTTAACTCGTCAAGTACCGTCATTATAGTCTGCAATGTCTGCAAAACCGGTACTCGACGAGTTAAGTGATGAAATTATCCCTCCTATAATACAATACAAATCGTTAAATTTTACAGACAATTCCCCAAGCAGATTTATGGCGTGACGAATGAAGAATCAAGGATCGTACTTAAGAAATGGAAATACGAATCCCTCCCGCTATATACACTCGATGTACGATTTTTTGCTAGGGGATGGCCTTATGAAAATGTGGAGGAGGAATGTTTAAGATTGAATTTTAGAAATTTATATTCCTGGGTAATTAATCGAATTGAAGTCTGCTATTCCACGCACTGTGGGCGCGACGACTTCATACATTTCATTAAATATTTAAAACCGACGAAAATTGAAGGCTTTCCATTATACTATATGAGAGGTAGTTATCTAGACTTTTATTCGTTTTTGACGGCCGAAAATAGTGATGCGAACGAAAATTTTGAAATTTTACCAAAACGACGTAGAATTATAGGAAGGAAAAATGATAAAGGAAATTGTCAAGGACCCGACATTGTTACAAGGAAATTATCTGAGGTACTTGATTGGTAAAACGAGGTATATACTGCCGCGCGTTTCGTTTAAATGTAATAATATATCTACATATTATAAAAATGAATACCATTTTCTCTTGGTCACGGCATCACGCCAGAATGGCTGGACCAATTTCACTAATTCTTTTTTTGTTGTATTTGTTATTAAAAATCCTGAAAATCCTACGGGAACGAGAGAAAACGGGATTGAGCGTACGAAGTCGCGGGCAGAAGCTAGTCAAGTATAAAGAACTAGCGTCTTAGTTATACTTCTTATTAGAACTAGTGATATATACAGGGTGACTTGTAACTCGACGTATTCCTCTCGGGAGGTGACAATACAACTGATTTCCTACAAAATTAAAGTCAAAGTCAAAGTCAAAATCATTTATTTCACCACGTTCCGCGCTGCAATTTGTTTAAGGCTTGGAGCTTCATTTTGTTCACCTCATCGTTGTCGTTGTGGTGAAGATGTCAACAGCCTTGGACACCACTTTTGCTCGACACGCAAGTATTAATGACATAATTCGTCGAGCTCTTGCCTCCGTTGGCGTGCCAGCTACTTTAGAACCTAATGACTTGGTACGCGACGATGGCAAGAGACCCGACGGTATGTCATTATTACCTTGGAAGATGGGTAGGGCTTTAGTATGGGACGCCACTTGCGTTGTTACTCTGGCGCCATCCCATCTTCCAAGCTCAGCGTGTCGAGCCGGTGCTTCCGCTGCTACTGCCGAGAACCTCAAACGGCGAAAGTATAATAGTCTGATTGGCAATTATGCTTTTGAACCGTTTGGGGTTGAAACTTTAGGGCCGTGGGGCTCAAGTGCACATCTTCTTTACAAAGATATTGTAAGGAGGATGGTTGACACTTCACGTGATCGAAGGGCTGGCTTCTACCTTGGACAAAGGTTAAGCATTGCCATTCAACGTGGTAATGCTGCCAGTCTTTTGGGCACCCTACCTCACGATAATGATGAGGAAAATTTTTTTTTTGATGCCTTATTATAGCTTATTTATTTATTATTACCTTTTTTTTAAGGTGTAAATATTTTAGTTCATAGTTATTTATATTTTAAGTTGTATATATTTTCATTTAGCTATAGTTAATATTAATTGTATATATAATAAGTATGTATGTTCATATAAATATAGTACTTATTGACTTTAGATAAGAAATTGATAATAAAAAATATAATTATTTATTTCAATTAGACCAGGAAGGCACTTTTGGACGTCAGCAATGGAAATTTAAAACTGAAGCTATTTGCTCATTCCAAGGTCGCAGTCGCAACGCCATAGGTTACTCTTTTCCAATCAGTTTCACAATACATTTCCTCAGTTACATAGTATTCAGTTACACATTAGCCCTTAGGTCCGAATACAAATTTTCTTGCTATTATAAAACGAATGATATTTCTGCCAGTATTTAGTATTAATTTAGTCTATTGGTGTATTGACAACAAATTAAAACTAAAATCACTAAAATCAAACATTCGGATTAGTTAGTAGAATTCGTAGTTCCATCGGGATTTTTCACCAAAACCGAAAATTTTTAATATCTCAGTAACTAGCCACTTTCGAACCAGAGACCTCAGGGCTAATTTTGTAGGAAATTAGTTGTATATCACCTCCCGAGAGGAATACGTCGAGTTACAAGGCACGCTGTATAATATTATTGGATTACTAACTGACCCGGCAAACTTTGTTTTGCCATATAAATAATTTCGTACAAGGGTGAAAATTGAGGATTGTATGTATTTTTGTATGTTGTATCATAAAAAAAAGAAATTAAAAATTTTGTCTAAAAAATTAAAAAAAATAATTTCTAACATTTAGGGGGATGAAAAATAGATGTTGGCGGATTCGCATAGATAGTGGATAAGCACAATTACTGGATAATTATAATTATACTTTTTTTTTGTTTTTAGTTTTTTAATTTCGGTTATTATTCTAATTATATTTTGTTATGTTTTAATGATTTTTGTTCATTTCTTTTCTCTTTCATAAAATCACTGTATTTTTTATTTGTATTGTAATTATCCTTGTCTTCGTGTGCCAATGGCCAAATAAATGCATTTTCTTGCTTTCTTCTTTCTTCTTCTTTCACAAAAAAATTCATCAAAATCAGTCGAGCCGTTTCGGAGGAGTATGGCAACGAAAACTGTGAGACGAGAATTTTGTATATTAGATTGTAAGCATGTTTTATTGTAGAATAAAGGGTATTTTTTCTTCATAACTGTTCCTGCGACTTTGTCTGCGTAAAATAATTACGTTTCATTACTTGGTTACGGTTTAAAATAAAAATTAAAATACAAATAAGTTGTTTGTTGTCGTTGCTGCCTTGGAAGATGGGTAGGCCTTTGGTGTGGGACGCCACGTGTGTAGACACCCTTGCGCCATCACATCTTTTAAGCACCGCTGCATGCGTTGGTGCAGCTGCTTCCGCGGCAGAGGCCCTCAAACGGCGTAAATATTCAAATCTAGTAGGTAACTGTTTTGAGCCGTTTGGGGTCGAAACACTTGGGCCATGGGGTCCCAGTGCACACTCTGTGTTTAAAGATATCGCCCGTAGGCTAATCGACTCTACGCGTAACCAGAGGGCTGGCTCTTTCTTCGGACAGAAAATAAGCATTGCCATTCAACGTGGCAATGCTGCCAGTCTTCTGGGAACGTTCCCCTGTGATAGTGATGCGGACGAATACTTTGACGCCTAAATTAAGGGTATAATTTGTGTTGTATTCTTTTTTACTTTCGTTTTATTTAATAGTTTAGTTGTAGTTAATTTTAAGTTGTAAATATTATTTTATGTAGTTATTAAAATTATCTGTACAATTGTACATAAATACAAATGTGTTTATTTCTTTAAATATGTACAATTACTAATTAGGTACCATTTTTACCGACTTCAAAAAAGGAGGAGGTACTATGTTCGGCTGATTGTTGTTGTGTTATTTCACCGATTACTCCGCCATTTGCGAATCGATTTCCAAAATTCTTATTTTGTTTGAAAGGGTATACTTCCGAGATGGTCCCATTTCCATGAGATCAGGATCTGATGATGGGGAAACCGAGGCGAACTTTCGAAAATTGTTGTGGCGAGTGATGCGTCTATTATGTTTTTCAATTACGATTTTTAAACACTACAACTTAATAAGGGTCTGGAGTCGACCTGATGATGGAGCCGACAGATAGTCGAAAGAACTCCTCAGCGGTTTATATGGTACCCCAAACACAAGTTATATAACTACCTAGATTATTGCTTGATTAATTTGTATTGATGAGAACTTTACACCTAGATGGAGTGGAATTGTGATTAAGGGTCTGATGATACAT